GGAGGCGCCTGAGGGGCGTCCTGGGCAGTCTTGAGACTGGCTTGGGCGTCTTGGAGAGATGTTTCGGCTACTCGAGGCCCTCTTAGACCGTCTATTGTGGCCCTCTTGGCCCGTTTTGGGGCCTCCTCGGGCCCGCAACAGTCGCGCGGCAGGACGCCACAGACCCCAGCGGGTTGCGCGGGGAGCCCCGGGGGCCACGCGGCGCGCGCCGAGAGGTTTTGGCAGCTTGGGGCCCAGACCCTTACCACTCCTGGGGAGTAGGCCGGGGACCTGAGGACACTCCAACTCGTGCCTCGAGGGCACGGTGGCGGACGTCATCGCGACGTCGGAGGTCTTCTGGGGGGCCCTTCTTGGCCTGTGGGGGGTCTCTGGGAGTCCTCTTCGGGCCATCCGGGCGAGTCTTTGAGCACTCTTGGAGCTCTCTTGGAGCGGTCTTGGGCCGTCTAGGGTCCTCGGGCATTCTTGGGGCCGTCTTTTGGCTGTTGGGCCGTCTTGAGGCTTTTGTGGGCCCTCCTGTGGCCCTCCAGAGCATGCCAGAGATCATCTAGGGCGATAAGATGAGACTGAGGCCCTCTAGGCCGACAAACATACTGAGCACCCAGAGTTTTCCAATGATTTGGTTTCCTGGGGACCTGCTGGAGTCCTTGCGCTTTGGGGCCTTGTTGGGTCAGATGTGGTCCGCCTTAGGGGCGGGCTGCCATTGGCCGGCCGCAAAGAGGTCAGAAACAGACCAGGTCGAAGCGCCTGGATTTGTTGCCAAACTTACCTTCCTGGAGCATGCCCCCATCCCTAAGATTGGCGTCACCTTCTCTCGGTGCCGATCGTAGGAATCCCCCTCAGTTTCCAAGGGCGCATTGGTGAGATTGTGATCGCCGTGGTCTTGCCACTTTTAGGTGATCAGCTCGAAGCTGGTAAGAAACATGTTCTCTTGTTGAGGGCCGCTTGTTCGGTAGCAGATCATGGGAGCCTTGTGTACCGTCGTATTTCCTTGGTTAGACTGCACTGACGTCGATCAGCGTCTGGTGATCGATGCGATAGCACCGATTTAGCGTCGATTTAGCGTCGACTAGCGTCGACCAGCGTCGAGTAGCGTCGAGTCGCAAGAGCCAGCAACATAGTATGGGAGGCTCCCACACAAGGTTGCATGGGAGGCTCTCACACAAGGTTGCATGGGAGGCTCCCATGAGTTACCACCCAATGCTCGGAGGGGCTGTTGGAGCCTCCCTGGGGCCTCGTTAGCTCCTTGGCCGGGCCTTCGGGCTGGGCGACCCGGCCGGGCCATTTCGCGGGTCCCGCGCAGCCCGTCGCGGGTCGCTGGGGATCCACGGGGGCCAGCTTTGTAGGCTGCGCGCAAGAGTGACCAGTCGCAGTCGTGACCTTCGGTGCGGGCACACCGGGGCCCCCAGATGGCTGGAAGGGATGCGACAGCAGCGGCCTGCGCGCTCAGGTTTGGCCCCCCGACCCCCCCCGGTGCCGCGATCCAAAGGTCACGCTTGCCGAGGGTTGCTCCTGCGTGTGAGCGAGATCGTGAGGCCATCCTGGGCCGCGCTGGCCCACCCCCTGGGCGGATGCGGGGGAAGCGAGAGGACCCCCCCATAGCCCGACTTCAGGGCCTCCTGTATGGGGTCCGAGCAGATGGGGTCGAAGGATCGCGCCGCATCGCCGATGCAACGGCGATGCGGCTCGATGTGGAGCCCGATTTTGTCCACGCCGACGTCGCCGATGCGTCGCCGAAGTCGCCGATGCATCGCCAGTGTATCGCCGATGCATCGCCAGTGCATCGCCGATGCATCGGCGATGCATCGGCGATGCGGCGCAATCCTCCGACCCCACCTGCTCGGACCCCATCCGAGAGGCCTCGACCACCAGCCTGGCAGAGCGAGCCATTTCGCTGCAGAGCACAGCCGAAGGTCCGCACCCTGCCGCCCTCAAGGCGAGCAGCTCCTCCTGCCGTGCTCCCCTCGGACTCTCACGCCAGGTCGGCGGACGTTTCGCATCAGGGTGCCCATCCATTGGCATCGCTCGGGCGTGTGCATCTTTTCTCGGCTAAGGCCACCGAGGAGTACATTAGATCATTTTGTGGAAAAAACAGCATGCACGAAACCGACACACGCACGGGGGATGGACGTCCGAGCGATGGCGAGTTGATTCAGCCACAGAACGTGAAGATCCTCCGGGGCCTACCCTTGAAAAAAGATTCCCCGGAGTACCACCAGGAGCCACTCCCAGGGGGCCGTCCGGGCACGAGGAGACGTTCTCCTCCGGGATCCTCCCAGGAGCTC